GAGCAGATATTTATACACCAACATTCACAGCAGCATTATTCACAATAGCCAAAAGGAGGAAGCAACTTAAGTGTCCATCAACAGATGAATGGATAAATAAAATGTGGCATATACATACGATGGAATGTTAGCCTTAAAAAGGAAGGAAATTCTGACACATGCTACCACATGGATGAAACTTGAAGACATTATACTAATAAGCCAGTCACAAAATGAAAATATTGTATGATTCCACTTATATGAAGTACTTAGAGCAGTCAAACTCATAGAGAAGGAAAACAGAATGATGGTTGCCAGGGGCTGGGTTAAGGAGGAATGAGAAGTTAGTGTTTAAATGTGTACGGAATTTCAGTTAGGGAGGATGAAAAAGTTCCAGAGATGGATGGCAGTGATGGTTGCACAACAGTGTGACTATGCTTAACACCACAAAACCGTATACTTAAAAAGAGTTAAAATGTTAAATTTCATATTATGTGTATATTTAACTACAATTTTTTTTTTAAGACAGGAGAATAAAAAGGCAAATCACAGGCTGGGAGAAAATTTTGCAAAACATATATCTGACAAAGGATTGGTATCCAGATATATAAAGAACTCTCAAAGCTCAACAGTAAGAAAATAAGTATCCCAACAAAACAATGGGCAAAATATTTGAACAGATATTTTTATCAAATAAGATATATGGAAGGGAAAGAAGCACATGAAAGATGCTGCAAACTATTAATCATTAGGGAAATAAAAAGTAAAACATAAAATATCAGCATATACCCACTAAAGTGACCAAAATTAAAACAACAGCTATACCAAGTGCTGTCAAGGATATGGACCAATCAGTACTCTCAGACATTTTTGGTGCAAATATAAAATGGTACAACCACTTTGGAATATCATTTGACAGTTTTTCTCTTTTTTGAGATGGAGTCTTGCTCTGTCACCAGGCTGTAGTGCAGTGGCACGATCTCGGCTCACCGTAACCTCCGCCTCCCGGGTTCAAGCGATTCCTTGCCTCAGTCTCCCAAGTAGTTGTAATTACAGGCACGCGCCACCATGCCCAGCTAATTTTTGTACTTTTAGTAGAGACGGCATTTCACCATGATGGCCAGGAAGGTCTCGATCTCTTGACCCCGTGATCCGCCTGCCTTGCCTCCCAAAGTGCTGGGATTACAGGCGTGAACCACTGCGCCTGGCCTTAAAACATAGATTTCATTGTTATTCAAGTATGATGAGGCCAACAGATCAGGAGGTGATTGCCACTGACAAGATAGTTACTCGCAGTTCTCAAGAGGAAGGCGCACACCATGCCATGCAGGGGCCACATGAGGAAGCACTAGGGTCAGTCAGGAGGCCAACAGAATGGGATGAAAACATGGGCAAGAGCCTTTATGTGGTTTCAGTGGAAGGAATGGGCAAGGCAGGGTAAGCATGTTTAGGGCTGGCTAGTTTGAATAATTTCAGTGAGTTTTGCAGCATAGGGATGTCCTTAGTTTCCTGGTATCTGATCTTGAAATGAACAGGGCAGGTGGATAATAGATAGGTGTCAAAGTCCTATGAGAGCCACATAAAGGAGGCAGCTAGAGTATGAGTGAGTTATTCACTGTCTCTAGGAATTGGCTAGCCCTGACAAAGGATCAGAAACACACAGTTGCCAGGAGCAGTGGCTCACGCCTGTAATCCCAGCACTTTGGGAGGCTGAAGTGGGCGGATCACAAGGTCAGGAGATCGAGACCATCCTGGCTAACATGGTGAAACCCAGTCTCTACTAAAAATACAAAAATTAGCTGGGTGTGGTGGCAGGTGCGCCTAGAGTCCCAGCTACTCAGGAGGCAGAGGCAGGAGAATGGTGTGAACCCAGGAGGTGAAGCTTGCAGTAAGCCAAGATCACCCCACTGTGCTTTAGCCTGGGCGACAGAGCAAGACTCAATCTCAAAAAAAAAAAAAAAAAGAAAGAAAGAAAGAAAGAAACACATGGTTATTACTATACTATGTGATTTCACTTGTATAAAACTCTAGAAAATACAATCTAATCTATAGTGGCAAAAAACAGACCAATGGTTGCTTGGGGATGAAGGAGTGGGCAGGGGCAAGAGGCTGTGATTATAAAAGGCACAAGAAAACTTTGGGGAGAGATTATATGTTCACACTCTTGTTGTGGTGATACTTTCCTGCTCTATACATGGGACAAAACGTAATAAATTTTATACTTTAAATGTGTACAGGTTATTGTTACATCAATTATAAAGTTGTTTAAGAATTATAGGAATAATCAATGAAAAGAAATACAATGAAAAGAATTTCATTTTTATTGTATAATAAAAATGAAACAAAGCCAAAAATAGTTATTTGATAAATTAACAAACAGGTAAAAAGAGAAGACACAAGTTAATTTTTTTTTTTTTTTTTGGAGACAGTTTCGCTCTGTTGCCCAGGCTGGAGTGCAGTGGTGCAATCTCGGCTCACTGCAACCTCTGTCTCCTGGGTTCACGTCATTCTCCTGCCTCAGTCTTCCGAGTAGCTGGGACTACAAGTGCCTGCCACTACGCCCAGCTTTATTTTTTTTTTTTGTATTTTTAGTAGAGACGGGGTTTCACCGTGTTAGCCAGGATGGTCTCGATCTCTTGACCTTGTGATCCTCCCACCTTGACCTCCCAAAGTGCTGGGATTACAGGCGTGAGACATGACGCCCAGCCCACAAGCTAATATTATAAATCAAAAGTGGAAATAATTACAGAAGTAACAGATAAAAAAACTGAGATTATCTACAACTATAGGCAAATAAAACTAAGAGAAATGAACGCATCTCTAGAAAAAGAATAAAAAACTAGCCCAGGAAGAACAAAAGACCTGAATATTCTTACAATTAAAGAGGTTGACCACAAGTTCAAATTTGTCCCCCATAAAAAACACTGGACCCAAATGGTATTACAGGTGAGAAAACAAGAGTGACTAGTTCCCAGCTCATTCTAAGGAAAGAGCAAAACCAGGCACCAAAACTGGACAAAAACATTATAAGAAAGAATATCACAGGCTCACTTTTACACAATAATATATATTCAAAAAAATACCAAAGTATCAACAAATTGAATCTAGCATATAAAAAAGATAAATCATGATCCACTTGAGTTTATCCAAAATATACAAGGATATTTTAACATAAAATCTATAAATATGATTCACCCATATTAAAAAAGAAAGTTCATACAACCATTTCAATTGATGTAGAAAATGCACTAGATAAAAACACATGAATTCAAGATTTTAAAAAATCCTCTTAAATAGAAATAGAAGAAACCTTCCTTAACCTGATAAAGCAGTTACTATTTAAAAAAACAACATTATGCAATTATCTTCAACAGAGAGAAACTGAAAGCATTCTTTTGAAAATCAGAAATAGGCCGGGCGCGGTGGCTCAAGCCTGTAATCCCAGCACTTTGGGAGGCCGAGGCGGGCGGATCACGAGGTCAGGAGATCGAGACCATCCTGGCTAACACGGTGAAACCCCGTCTCTACTAAAAAATACTAAAAACTAGCCGGGCGAGGTGGCGGGCGCCTGTAGTCCCAGCTACTCGGGAGGCTGAGGCAGGTGAATGGTCTAAACCCGGGAGGCGGAGCTTGCAGTGAGCTGAGATCCGGCCACTGCACCCCAGCCTGGGCGACAGAGCAAGACTCTGTCTCAAAAAAAAAAAAAAAAAAAAAAGAAAATCAGAAATAAAGTAATCTACTATCACTTCTATTCAATATTGTTAGAAAAGTCTTTGCCTTCACAACAGGAAAAGAAATTTGGCCACGTACAGTGGTTCATGCCACTGTAACGGCACTTTAGGAGGCTGAGACGGGAGGATTGCTTGAGCCCAGGAGTTCAAGACCAGCCTGGACAACATAGCAAAATCTAGTCTCTAAAAAAAATTTTTAAAAAGAAAAAGAAATTAAAATTATAAGAATTAGAAAGGAGACTAATATTTGCAGAAAATCTGATTGTTTACATAGAAAACCTACGAGAATTTAGGCTGGGCATGGTGACAAAGTGAGAAAACATCTTAAAAAAAAAAGAAAATCTACAAGATTCTATATGAGGTAAGTTATTGGAAATAACAGGGTAACTTTGTCAAGGTGACTAGACATAGAATTTTTATACCCTAGCAAAAACAGCCACTGATTTGCACTCAAGAAAGGGTCTGTCAAGTTAGGCAAGAACCAATCTGTGTAAATGCCGATAAAGAATCAGATGGGAAGGAAGCGAAGGCACATAAGAAAGGCAAAAATGGGAGAATTGTAGAAAAGTGAGTGAACTGAAATCTGACATCTTAAAGATTTCCCCATGAGGTACGCAGCAAGATCAAAGGCTAAGAGAGGAGGGGGAGATAGTGGGACATGGTTTTTTAAAGTATTAAGACTAATACTGGTGCTATAGAAAATGGCAGGAAGTGCTGACACCACGCAGCCCAGCAGCCCCGAGGGCCCCGGTGAGATAAGATCCATTTTTCCAGGATTCTTTTCTGAAAAAATGCTCTAAGCACTAATGGTATGGCGAACATACAGAATTAAGGTTTTGCTAGATGAATGTAATGAAGCTATAAGCAATGAGGGAAGAGAATGAACTGCTGAACCTCAGAGTTTAGCATTGACAGGAAAGGAAGGCAGATACTAGAGACATTAGAGAAAATAAAAAACTTAAGTGGCTAAAACCCCAAAAGTTGGGAATATTTACAGTGAGAATAACATAGTAGGTAAACTGGAAGGCCCCAAGAAGCTAATTTCACCAGAATTTTTTGGAGCCTATTGTAGTTGATGGACTATAGCCCTTGAAAAATCAATACATATGACTAATTTTACATACAGTTCCCTTGACATGTATGGATCTCAGTAAAATGCAAATCCTTTACCATGCACCCCTACCCCAGATTATGCCATAAGCAGCTTACTAAGTAGCCCTTCAGAATTCCATGTTTCCTTTCCTCCTCCATTTCTGTAGAAAAAACTTAAAAAACTATTTCAGTACTTACTAGCTTCTTTTAAAAAGTTAATTATGCTCTTTGAACATGTGTCCTAGAAAAAAAGAAATAAAAAACATTTAATTAGGAGTATCTAGGTTATGTGAAGCATTCATCAACCTCCTATTGACAGAAATTATCTATAGGCAAATTTTATATATAAGTAACTTTAACACGAACACTTCTTAAACTTTGGCCTAGTAATTTCACAAAAATTAGGCTGCAAGTCACCCTGTTTATCAGATACTGGCAGACGCTAACTTCTGCGGCTATGAAGCTAATCAATACTGAAATCTCTTATCTTTTCAGGAGGATTGTTCGTGTATTCAGTGTTTGCAAAGAGTTCCTGCTGAGCTAAACACAGTCCAGTGTGCACTCTACGAAAGAGTCCATGAGACAAGCATGGGGGAGGGTAGGAAGTTTAATACTTTCACAATGCCTGTGGAGAGGCTGGCAGTGATGAAAGCCTAGAAAACTCATGAAAGGACCTTTTATGACCAGGGTGAATGTAGAGCACAAAAGCAAAGTCAGATGACCCACTTAAAGCTTTGCCTTTACTGATGAGATTTCATTCTCATTCCAGATTAGTCTCTCTCTAGAAAAAGCAAACCTTATATAAGAGTTGGAAAATTAAGATACAGGAAGCATGATTCTACTAAGTTCCAGTTTTTCCTTCTCAGATATCAGCCTAAGTCCTAAGGTCTGTGGCCAAAGACAGAAAATACAAGGCTCTGAGAAACATGCCATTTACTTGGCGTAACAATCTCTGTTGGGCTTTGAGGAAATTTAAGCTCTACAATCCATAGATTAGACCAGAAGTTTAGGGTAGTAATATTATGAGAGGAAATGGTTTCTTAATCTGTCTCTAGAACTTATATAAAGCAAATAAATGGTAAACCTGATTTGTAAATTAATAACAGACCAAGTTCCTTCAAAGCAGAGAACTACTTATTTGTTCCTTCATTCAACTAAGTTCCTTGTCTTGTGCCAGGCTGGAGAGAGAGAGCAGCTCTTGTCCTCAAGGAGCTCACATCTCAGGCATCTTCTCACCCCCCTTTCTCATGTTAACCAAAACATTTCAGGTTCATCAATGAAACTCTTCATCCAGGAGGCAGATAAAATGGCTTCTCTTCATTTTGATTCATTTGCTCTTTTATTTATTTTATTTTATTATTATTATTATTTTTTTTTTTGAGAAGGAGTCTCACTCTATTGCCCAGACTGGAGTACAGTGGCGCAATCTCAGCTCACTGTAACCTCTGCCTCCCAGGTTCAAGCGATTCTCCTGCCTCAGCCTCCCAAGTAGCTGGGATTACAGGCATGCGCTACCACGCCCGGCTAATTTTTGTAATTTTAGTAGAGACAGGCTTTCACCATGTTGGTCAGGCTGGTCTCGAACTCCTGACCTTGTGATCCGCCTGCCTCAGCCTCCCAAAGTGCTGGGATTACACGCGTGAGCCACTGTACCTGGCCTACTCTCTTTTAAACAGAGAAATAAGATGGAATATTCTTATCCGATCTTTTCTTCTATAATTAAAAAAGGAATACGAAGAAACTTGACAGTCTCTCTTCTCATGGATTCTCTTCCTTACTTCCCATCCCAATTCCATGTTTGCTCTCTTTTTCCTCCCTCCTTCTGTTTCGTTTTGAACAAAACTACAGAGCTAGACCTGGAGCCTAGATTCACTGGTAGTCAAATCACTAATTTTTCTGAAGGTAAATGGGAGAAAAATGGGGGTTGCAGGGGAAGCTCATTAATACAATTCTAAATCAATCTCAACTCCCTACTGCACAACTTCCCCTCCCTCCTCCCACATACGTTTTTGGTTCTCATCTAGTCTTCACACTGGTAACTGCTTCTGTCTGGCAGTTTCTGTTCTAAGCCCTCTTAGTTTTCAGCTTAAACAAAACCTGCCCCTGCTGATTATGGTAGACCCATTCTTATCCTCTGTCTACTCCAAACATTCACAACCATAGCAGCCTACTCATTGCTTAAATAGAACTTAATATATAATTTATTAATTACTTAGCTATATAAATATCTATATCTATCTTAAAGATATATATGTATCTTTAAGATAAGATATAGAGATAAAGAGAAAGATATATATATATATATATATTTTTTTTTTTTTTTTTGAGATGGAGTCTCACTCTGTCACCCAGGCTGGATTACAGTGGCATAATCTCAGCTCACTGCGACCTCTATCTCCCGGGCTCAAGTGATTATCATGCCTCAGCCTCCCCAGTAGCTGGGATTACAGGCACCTGCCACCATGTCTGGCTAATTTTTGTATTTTCAGAAGAGACAGGGTTTCACCATGTTGGCCAGGCTGGCCTCAAACTCCTGACCTCAAGTGATCCACCTGCCTTGGCTTCACAAAGTGCTGGAATTACAAGTGTGAGCCACTGCACCCGGCCTGATATGTGTGTGTGTGTGTGTGTGTATGTATATGTATATGTATATACTTACCTGTCAATTATAATCAAGCTCCATGCTCCATACAGACCAGAGAGGTCTGCTCTGCTCACAAGACCTACCCAACATCTAGCAAAGTACTCCACACATAATAGGTATATTAGGTAGTGAACTGAAGTTGACCACCCCTGTAGGGACTACAGCCCTGCTTAAAAGCAAATCAGTCCCTGAAACTGAATTAAAATGATTGAAGACTCCTAGGCAAAGTTAGAAACAAACAAATCCTCTCTTGAAAAATATATCATAAGTCTCAGGTTATTTCTACAAATAATTTTAAAACTACAGTGTCTAGTCCATAAAAAGGCAACATGAGAATCAGTAAAAAACAGACAATAAGAACAGTCCTGTAGCATTAAGAATTTTAGTCAAGATTGGTATAAAAACGTAATAGCAGATCTGAAAAAAAGATCTTAATGGATAAATTTAAGAACAGATAAAATATAGCTGAAGAGAGAATTAGTGAGCTGGAAAATAGGTCAAAAGGAAGTATCTAGAATGAAGCAGAGAGAAGCAAAAAGATTTATAAAAAAATTCCAAGGCAAAAGTAAGAGGTATAAAGGATACAATGAAATGATCTAACCTACATGTAATTCCAGTTTCAGAAAAGCGGAAAGGGAGAAATGGAACAGAAGAAATATTTGAAGAACAGACGAAGGCTGAAAATTCTCCAAAACTGAGGAAAAACATCAAACCACAGATCCAAGAAGCCCTAAAACCCCCCAAGCAGATAAACAAAAAGAAAATCTGTGTCTAGATATACAATAGTGAAATTTCTGAAAACCAAATAATTATTTAAAAACAATTTTTTTAAGCACTCAAAAGGAAAAAAGACACTGTGGTAGTTTGTTTGCAAAGATAGCTACATAAAATCCCATCCTTGTACACATGCCTTTTACAGTGAGACACTGCCACTCCTATCAACAGGTGAAGTTTATTTCTCCATTCCTTTAATTTGAGCTGGCCCTGTGACTTGCTTAAATCAATAAAATGCAGAAGTAATAGTGTGTCTTCCAAGTTGATACCTCAAGAGAACTTGCAGCTGTCATTTGGCTCTATGGAAACACTGCTGTCATAATGTGAGAAGCTTTGGCTCACTTCCTTACATTAAGAGAGAGGCCCAATCAACAAGTGACACCAACTGCCAGACGTGTGCTTGAGACAATCTGAGTCCCAAATGAACCATTAGATGATTACAGTTGCATGAATGACTCCAATCAAAACCAGCAGAGGGGCCGGGCGTGGCGGCTCATGCCTGTAATCCCACCACTTTGGGAGGCTGAGGCAGGTGGGTCATTTGAGGTTAGGAGTTTGAGACCAGCCTGGCCAACATGGTGAAACCCCATCTCTACTAAAAATAAAAAAATTAGCCAGGCAGTAGTGGTGTGCGTCCGTAATTGCAGCTACTCAGAAGGTTGAGACAGAAGAATTGCTTGAGCCTGGGAGGCAGAGGTTACAGTGACCCGAGATTGTGCTACTGCACTCCAGCCTGGGTGGCAGAGTGAGACACTTTGTCAAAAGAAAAAAAAGAAAAAAAAGAACTAGTAGAGGAACCAAACAGCTACCCAGCACTGATTGATATTCACAGAACTGTGAGCCAATTTTAGATGGCTGTTGCTTTAAAATATGAAATTTGGGGATGTTTTGCTAGGCATCAATAGAAAATGGATACAAAAATATTTTCGTCAAAGAAAACAACTAGATTAACAGCTGATCATAATACTTAAGTATTACCTTTTTCTTAAACTTGAGAATTTAAGTTGCAGGATATCAAGAAGGGTAAACATCAACAAAATAATTTGCTTCCTCTTCTAGAGAAAGGAATAGTGTGTTTTCAGCTACATGCAAGATAGTTCTTTCATGCTAAGCAGAAGTATGACTTTGTTATTGTCTTTATTTGGAGATTAATAATGGCTTAAGGAGATGCCTATGGGTGCCAAGCTGACAAAGGGTAGACTTGTGATTGTTAATTTCACTGGGCCGCATCACAGTGTCCACGTATTTGGTTAAAGGTTATTCTGGATATTTCTGTGAGGGGTTTTTTTGGATGAGATTTACATTTAAATCAATGGACCTTGAGTGCAGCAAGGTTGCCCTCCATAATGTAGGTGGGCTTCATCCATACGACTGAAGGTCTGAATAGCACAAAAGGCTGACCTCCTCCACGCAAGAGGGAATTCTCCAGCAGACTACCCTTGAACTTGAACTGCAGTTCCTTCCTGGGTCTCTAGTCTGCTAGCCTCCCCGACTGAATCAATTCCTTAAAATAAATCTATATAATATGTATGTAATATATGACTAATATTTAATATAATAAGCATATATTCAACACAATTTCAGTACTACCCCCTTATCTGGGGGGGGGGGATATGTTCCGAGACTCCCAGTAGATGCCTGAAACCATAGATGGTACTGAACCCTACATAAACTATATTTCGTTCCTATACAAACGTACCTATGGTAAACTTTAATTTAGAAATAAGGCACAGTAAGAGATTAACAGCAACAACTTATAATAAAATAGAACAACTGTAACAATATGCTACCACTACCCTTGCACTTTGGGCCATTATTAAGTA